ACGGGACGGTATTATGAGGAGCCGAAAGGAACGCAGGAAAGCACAGGACGGAGGGAAACGCCGGGCCGGGACGTCTGGGCTCTCACCTCTTCGTCCAGGTCCGAGAACCCAGCAAGCTCCTCCTCGTCCGCCGCCCGCTGGCGGAGGAGCATGGCTTCCTTGGCGGCTCGCGCCCTGGCTGCCGTGAGCCCGTCCTCAGGCCCTCTCCCCGTCATGGACAGGGAGAAGGAGGACCGTCGCACCCCCGCAGCACCAAGGAGGGGGAAGGGAAGGACGCGGACGAGAACCATCTGCTACCCCGCCCTTCCTCCTTCCCTCCTTCCCTCCCTCCCTCCCTCCCTACCCCCTCCGTGGGATCGGGTCCTGGGAAGCTCGGTCTCTCAAGGAAAGGATTTTCACTTGCCAACCGATCCTGTCCCTCCTCCGCATCTTCTTCCTCCTCCTCCTCCACCTCCTTCTCCAGCGACACCTCCTCCACGCGTCTCTTCACGGCCTTCCCCCCCGCGGGGCCTCCAAGCGCAGAAGATACCCCCGGAGATGGCGCCTCTCTTTCCCCACCCCTACGCGATTTGAGAGCGGCCATCCCGTCCTTGTGTTCCGAAGGCGCGGCAGCGATTTCCTCCCGGCCGCTTCGTTTCTTCTTGGACGCTCCCCCCTCCCCCGTCAGGCCCACGCCACCCTCCCTGGCCTCCTCCGCGCCACTGCCTCGACCCCGCTTTCGCATGTGTCGGCCCTCCTTGTCATCGTTTGCAACCGCATTCTTTCCACCACGAAAGTCAAGCCCATCGCTCCCGCGGCGTTTCTTCACTACGCGTTCACCCACCTCCTCACTTTCCGGCCTCATCACTTCCCCTGCCTTCTTGCCGCCCCGTCTTTTACCAGCCGTGCTTTTGCTCATCACTGTCCCCGTTGAGGCCCGCCGGTGGTTCCCGAGGCGTGTCCGTGCTGAAGTTGAGTTTTCTTTTCCTCCCTCAGGCTCTCCCGCGTTGCCCACAAGCGTGGATGGGCCAACGGTCTGTCGCCGCCTCCGTTTGCTTACCATGGCTATTGACAAACCGACGTCTCTCTGTACAATGAAACGGATGAGCATGGGGTCAAGATGTGGGACGTGGCTGAGAAACACGGGGGCAGGCCGGGACAGGGGGGGGATGACTTGCTCGTGCGTGTCCGCACGGACAAGCACACGACCGAAGGCGTTCTCAATCCTTGTATGTACAAAAGAGTCCGATGGCCAGCCAGCACAGGACAATAGCGGGGCCACGTTGATAACATTTGCCTCCCAAGCAGACAGAGGAATGAAGCGACGCTAGTAAAGTTCGATCTCACGATTTTTTTGCCCATACATAGCAAGCACGGACGAGCACGACAAGGAAAAGGGTTGAGCGCTGCGCGAAGAAAGATGGCCGCCAAGGTTATGTGACCTTCACTACCTAGTCATGCACGTGATCTCGCGCTCGCAATCCTCTCGACAGCGCATCCAGCACTTTGCTGGCTTTTCTTTGTCCCTTTTTGCAGTCAAAACGTCGACAGCATCGCTCGCCTGATTCCTGTTAGCGAGGTATCAGACCTCTACCATGTCCTCCTGCTCCCTCCCACACAAAATACACGACCCGCCCAGACCACAAAAAAGGCGTCCCATCCCACCACCATGTCAGATCGGTATAATTTTCCTCTGGACACTTCTGGTCAGATGATTCTTTGGGGATGTGATACTCGTTTCGTTGTCGCTTGCGCAAGGCAGCAGCTACCTGGCTGAGTCTAGTCTCATTTGACGTTCCTCCTGTTTGCAGGTTTGCTCAGCATGGACGCAAGAAGAAGGAGAAAGAGGAATGAGAGCTGCCCGCTGCAGGAAATATTCCTCTTTCTTTTTGTGCTAGGGCTCGCCGTTATTAAGGACGTGGGTGGGTTTATGGTTTCGACCCTGTGCAAGCGGCCATGGAGCTGCCCCAGCCAGGAAGCGAAAGAGGTTTGTCAAAGAAAGGCGATATACTTCACATTCTCGCAATGTAAGACCTTCACGTGTGACCACTAATAGTTCCAAAATCACACTAACAAATTCTAGGCTTTACGACCATTCGGATGTCGGGCGCCTTTCAATCCCAATTTTCCGTCGACCAGGCTACGAACTTCCCCCTCTTCCTCCCCCACCTCCTCCTCCTCCTCTCACCTATCCATCCTCGAACTGCTCAAAGCCACCATCGGCCTCCATTCTGGGCCATGGAGCCTTCCTATCTCCAACACGAGCGTCGTCCGACTCTCTGTAAGTCGAGAAAGGGGAACAAGGAAGGGGACGACAATGCCCTGTCCTGGCTTCTCTGATTTCCAGCAAAATATTCTCACGCTGATGCACCCATGCCAAATCCCATGATCAGACGGCGCGCGAGGTGTGGAATGAGACCGAGCCCTGGCGTCGCTACCCCGTGGGTTTTTCCAGGCCCTCGTCCACCGCCTTCGTTGCCGACCTGGACAAGTGAGAGAGGCAGGCGGACTGGGCGGGAAGGGGGCGGGGAGGAGAGGCAGAGGAGGAGAGATGGAAAGGGGAGGAGCAGGCGGGGGGAGCCCGCATTGGCTGAGTACCGTGTGTGGATCCCAGGGTCCCGGCGTCCTCCACTCCCTCCCCCCCCCTTTCCGCCCCTCCCTCCCTCCCTCCCTCATCTCCATCCAGGCGGTACCTCGTCACCGCCGACCACGTCCTGGCCTCTCATTTTCGGATCACGGTACGTAGTTCTTCCCTTGCCCTGCCCCTCCCTGCTCACCACTCCCGGCCTTGCATGCACCCTCCTCTCCCTCCTCCTCGTTCCCTCACTGTCCCTCCCTCCTCGTCTTCGGCCTCGACAATGTCTTCAGCGGTCCTACCCTCCTTGCTCTCATCTAGAATGCTCCATGGCCTTTGTACCTCCTTTCCCTCCCTTGTGAGATTCTGTTCCCTTCTTCTCCCGCTTCTTCTCCTCATTGCAACGCCCGGGCCCTTCTTCACTCCCTTCTCCCTCTCTCAGTCCTCCCTGCCTCGACCATTGAACAATTCTTCCTCTCCTCTCCCTTTCCCCTCATTTCCCCCCGACCTCACTTCCCCCGTCCCACAGGCCTCTCGAGCCGGATTGGCCGAGGGAGAAGGCTACCGCGCCCGTGTCCTCTGCCGGGCGGAGGACTGGGACCTAGCGCTCCTCACGGTCGACGAGGACGCCTTCTGGAGCGGCGTGGAGGTGCGTTCCCTCATCCTCTCCTCCCCCTCCTTCCTTGGCCGTGCTGCATCCCGAGGCTCCTCCCCTCCCTCTTTTCTCTCTCCCCGCTGTCTTGTTCGACGCTCTTTGCCCTTCAGCGGCTTCGGCCCCTCTTTCCCCACCTTGCCCGCCTCCCTCCGTCCTCCTGATGCCTCCATCCCACCCTCCTCTCGCCCCTCCCAGGCCGCCCCCTTGAACGCCCAGGTCACCTGCCGACCCGACTCCTTCGTGACGGTGGCGGGCTTCTACAACAAGTCCCTGACCACGGACGAGTGGATGGTCCAAGACTACGCTCTGGGGCCCTCCTGCCTGAACCTGAACCTCTGTGAGTCCCCAGGATCTCTTTCGTCCCTCTCTTTGTCTCTCTTTCCTTGTTTAAATCCGGCGAACGGCGTGTGTCCTGGTCCTCCTGGCTGGGCGAGTGCGCGCCTTCTCGCTTTCCCTCTCGCCTCATCGTCCTCCCCCCCCCTCCTCGTTCCCTGTTTCCTCCTTTATAAGATCGGAACGGTCACAGCGGGTGGGGGGGAAGGGACGGCCCGGCCATGCCCTTTGGTTGTAGCGGGGGTCCTGTCTTCGCCCAGACCAAGGGACTGGGTACGTCCTCCCTCCCTCCCTCCCTCCCTTCCCTCCGTTCTGTTCCGCCCGACCTCCCTCCCCAACGTAGCTGCTTGCGCATGCCAGTGTGCAACGCCGTTTGCCAATCTCAAGTAGTCGAGGAGATGGTAAATCTTTGTATATTCTTGGAATTACAGGCTGGAGCGTGGTTGGAATGCTCAGTGCCGGGCAGCCAGACAGGGCGATCCTTCACACTGGTACCGTAACCCCTGGATTCTCGTCGTTTCCTTCCCTCCCTCTTTCACTCTCTTTCTTTAAGCAGCACTGGCGTCGATCGACTTGTCCTTGTTTCGCCTCTTTCCTTCTTCTTACCTTCCTCAGAAGCTACGTGGGCATTCATTGCTCGATCCTCATCTGATCTCACTGCCTGTCATCCCCCACGCTCCTCACTCTGTCCTCTCCAAACAGTGCCAGCCCACCTCATCCAGAAAATGATCCGGCAATACGAAGCCCACGGACAGGTATTGGACGCCTGCCTCCTCTCCTTTTTCCTCCTGCTACCCGCGCTTTCCCTTTGTTCCGACCTCTATGCTAGATGGCAAGGCTCCCTTCCATCTGCCGTTTCCCTCTTTCGTCCAGGCCCTCACTGAATGCCTCCTTCGGCCCCTTCTCATCACTCTCGCTCCCTCCCTCCCTCCCTCCCTCCCTCCTTACTTCTCCTTCAGTTCGTAGGCGGGTCCTCTCCTTCCTTCAAATTCCAGAGACTCCTTAACCCCTACCTCCGGGAGAGCCTCGGGATGGGTGTCGCCTCCTCTGGGGTGCTAATTACAGAGGCAAGCTTCTTCCCACCTTCCCGTCCCAGCCCCCTCCTTTCTCTATCTGTCGTCTCTCTCTCCTTCTCTGCAGCTCAAGTTGCATCTGCCGTTTTCTGCCTCGGCTTCCCGCCACACTCTGTGCCCTCTTCTCCTCTGTCCCCTCCCTGCCTCCTCCCGACAACCCTCTGGCCCCCTTCCAATGCCCCTCCGCTCTTACCCATACCGGGAGTGTCGCGGTTCCTGGTTCTCGCTTTCCCAAGCCTGCGTTTATTTCCCTTCGTTCTCCTTCCCACTTCTCCCTTCCTCTTCTCTCACCCCTCTCCTCCTCTCCTTTCACCCCCCCTTTCCTCGCCTCTCACCCCTCAGATTGCTCCTTGGCTGGAGAAGGCTGGCCTTCCGCTCCGACCGGGCGACATCCTCATGGAGGTGGACGGTAAGGATAATCAACCCCCCCCCCTTTTATTGCCCTCCATCCCTGACTTCCCTCCCTCCTCTCCTTCCGCCCCTACTCCTCCCTTCCTTTACCTCCTTCACCCGCCCTCCCTACTGTCCTCGCCCCCCCCCTTCCTCTGATCATTCCCTAGGCCTGGCTGTGGACGACCAAGGCGTCATCTCGCTTCCTCCAGATCGCATGCAGGTCCGCGACCCCTCCCACTCGCTCCTCTCTTTTCTCCTGGCGTCACCTCCCTTTCCCTCCACTTTCCCCTCCCTCGCTCCCTCCCTCCCCTCCTTCCTCCCTCCCCCCCGCCCAGGTGGACCTTCGGGGCCTCTGGGACCTGAAGGAGGACGGCCAGGAGCTGACGGCCAAGGTGCTGAGAGAGGGACGCGTCGTGCAGCTCAAGGTATGCTAGGAGGGCGGGACGAGACGAGGGGTGTGGACGACCGTAGACGACCCTCCCACAGAGGTGGAAGGCCAATGGGGGCATTTAACTTTCTTTTTTTGGGAAACCATTGGCGCGAACATCTCCCAATTTTTCTCTCCGCCCTTTTCATCCCCCCCACTCCCTCTTCTTTGTCAGGGCCCCACCAAACGCGTCCCTCCTGTCGTTCCGATCTCCTCCGCCTCCGTGACCCCTCCCCGCAGCTACATCCTTGTGGGAGGGCTCCTCTTCCTTCCTGCCTCCCAAGCGAAGGTGGTGGCGCATCAAGCGCGGTACGCAGGGGAAGGGGAAGGGATGGAGCAGGGACGCTGGGATAGCCCAGGGCAATTTGATTCAGAGGGCAGAGTGTAGAGGAGAAAAAGCGCGACATTGCTGGGATAAGAAGATACAGGGATTGGGGAACAGGAGAAGCATACACGTGGGTTTTGGTTTTGATTAGCCTTTCGAATGGAGGTGGTGGCCACATGAATGTAGAGGGAGCAAAGAGATCGAGTGCACGTGAGAGAGGCTCGAGCGCCTTGTCTGAAACTGTCAAAACTTTTCCCTCCCTCAGTCTTCCCCTTCCCGTTCCTCTCTTTCTCCCATACTTGCCTTCATTTTTCTTTCTATTTCCTTCCCTCTCAGCATAAATCAAGCTCCCGTCGAGACCCAGCTCCTCTTCAAAGCAGAGCCTCGCGAGCACCCAGAGGAGGAATACGTCCTGCTCTGGCGCATCTATCCGCACGGTAATTCTATGTTTCTTCCTCCTTTTCAAAAAAATTCTTCTCATTTCCATTTTCACTTTTTGTGAGTGACGATAAGTATCCATGTCCTCCTTGTTCAGCGGCTTTTCCCGCCTTTCAGAGGGCCACAAGGATCCAGCCCACCAAGTGCTCGTCTCGCATGCCTCCCTTTCGCTTCATTTCCCAAACATTCCTTCCACAGAGATAAACGAGGGCTACCAGGAGCGGTTGGCTCGTCTCCTGAAATTCAATGGCGTGCCGGTGAAGAATCTAGCGCATTTAGAGGTAAAGCAAGGCCGGGAACGAGTAAAAGGAATGGGAGCGAGGCGAGTCGCTTTCTTGATGCTCTCGAGCGTGCTAGCACATTGGATGGCGAGGCCTAGGCCAACCTGGCAATTCACCTACTCTGACTCTTATTAATAATCACGTCTTTTTGGGTTTTACCAGGCTTTACTTATGTCGTGCGGTGACTCCCTCCTCCTGTCGTTTATCCTGTCGTCGTTTCCTCCCACGCCTTCCATTCCTCTCTGCTAGATTCTATTGCTCATGAGGCCATCGATCACTTTAAGCGAAGAGTATCTCCCCTGCTCTGTGCTGCATTTCTGACTCCTCCCCTCCCCCCTTTGATCCTTAGGAGCTCATTCAAGGCGCTCGCCCCGAGCAGGGGGACGCGGAGTGGCTGGATTTTGAATTGGCAGATGCAGAGCAACGAAAGATCGTGCTTCCGGCGTATCAGGTCAGAAAAAGGGAAAGACACGGGGGAGGGGGGGGGACACTGCTGGAGATCATCGAGATCACCAGATCAGGAGAGAGAAAGTCGAAGGGACGAGGCAGATAGAACGAATTAAAATGGAGTCAGGGAACCATTTATCGCATCCGAAGCAGGCTGCTCCTGTGGGGATGTGCGTCCTGGCAGAGTATCCATGGTGCATTTATGGGCGTTTTCGTGTCCCTCACATTCTCCTTTTCCCACCTCTCTTGCCTCTCCCATTCTGTAGGCCTGGGCTGCCGAGGACGGGATACGGAAGACGAACCGCATTCCTTACCATCGACCACGATCGCGGGCAGAGGACGATGAGAAAGGAAGGGAGGGTGGCGGACAGGATGAGGAGGAGGATGACGATAAATTGATAGGATGAAAAGAAAACAAAAGCACTGAAAGAAAAGGAGACAATAATGTGTGCGCACTCACGACCGCGGCACCCAAATGCGTCGGGTATTTTGTCATTGGTTGAGAGCATTCTTTCGCCGGCATCCTAGCCCTTCCATACGCTGACCCCCAGTCGTTTCATGGCCCACGTCCTCTTCTCAATTGCTTTGCCCCTTTCCATTCTCATGCTGCTGCTGCTGCTTGTGCTGTAGGGCGCAGAGCTTGGCCAATAAGCCCAGTATTTGTGTGCGTGAGTTGAGACCTTCCGCAATGCGCATGTGGACCATGCCGATCTCCTGCAGAAACCAGCAAAAAGGTGGAAAGCGGGTGGGGAGGGAAGCCACGAGAGGAAGGAGGGCGGGAAGGGGGATCAATCGACAAAAGTGCGAGGAGGAGGGGGAAAGAGAAAAGGGGAGGGGGAGGAGGGGCCCTCTGTGCGCGGAGATGTCTCTCCATGAGTCGAAGGAAGAAACGTGATGCATTGTGAACCAAGGCAACCTACCCGGATAAAATTAAGTTTGGTGCCCTCGTTCATCGTCCCGTGATTCCGGCAGACCTGCATTTACAGCCCAGGCAAAATGAGCATTCGTGCTTCTCGTCTTGCTCTCTCCGGCTCTCCAACCTCACCTTAAACAGCGTTCCGACAATGTCCGATGCGCTGTAGCCCAGGTTCCATACCCGCAACAGCCTGTGTCAGAGAGAGAAGGAGCGAGGGGCGGAGGGAAGAAGGGGATATAAGATACGAACGCGGGCCCAGGGTGCTCGTGGATGTAACACAAGCCGCTTTTGCAATCCACCGTCTCCGGTAGCATTTCTCCTCATCTCTCCCTTTCTCTCCCTTCTTCCCTCTTCCCCCTTCCCCCTTGGTCCCCGCACACTCCCTCCCTTCCTACTTCTCCTGCGCCGCCTTGAGGTCTCCGGAGCCCGCACAGAGGTCGAGGACCTCCTTCATGAGGAGCGGGTGGGGCTGATCGCACACTTTGAAGACGTTCGCCTGAGAAATGAGTTGAAAAAGGGAGAGAGGGAGGGAAGGTGGGAGGGAGGAAGAGGGGAGGGAGTGCTTCAAGGATCACCACGAAAATTTCCTGAGGCGTCAAGGGGTGGAGGCCACAGTTTTCCTATCCCCCGCCCTTTGAGCGCCCTCGTTTCCCCCTGACTCCTTCCTTTCCCACCTGGTTGACGTAGCCGAAGCCGCTATAAGTGCTCTGCAGGTTGTTTATGGCATTGCGCATGTCACCCTCCGCCGTGAAGATGACTGGATGAAAGGGGAGGAAGGGGAAGAAGGGGAGGAAAAGGAAAAGATCGAAACGAGATTGAGCGAGTGGAGGGAGAGGGGCTGCTTCGACCAGGATGCTAGCTCACTTTCGGATCAAGTCCAGGCCGGCGGCCTCATCTCTCCCTCTTCGGTTTGCAATCCCTTCCCCCCTCCCTCCCTCCCCTCCCTTCCTCCCTTCGTCCTTCCCTCCCTTCCTCCCTCCCCACCTGCTTCAAGTCCATCATCGGAGAAGCCGACGTGCTCGGCCTCACATATCTGGCGGAGGCGATCCAGGATTTCCTGTGCGATAGAAGGAGAGGGGGAGGCAGGGAAAGCAGGCGATGAGCGGGAGGGAAGGGAGTCGACCCGCTTCCCACGCGAGGTACGTGCGCTGGACTTGACTAGACTGACAGGCAGAGAGAGAATCTTGGAAGATGCAGAGGGAGGAGGGGAGGGTAAGCATGGGGGAGAGAACACACCTCGTCGGCCAAGCGGGAGAAGCGGAGTATGGCGCAGCGTGACTGGATGGGCTCGATGATCTTGCTACTGGTGTTGCAGGCGAGAGCAAAGCGGGTCGTATGCGAGTAGATCTAGGGGAAGAAGGTACGGAGGGATGGAGGGAGGGAGGGAGCGCAAGAGGAAAAGTGTTTTTTGGGGACACCAAAAAATCAGGCACGCGCCTCAACGCTGGCGCTACCCTTCTCTTTCCTCTCATCCCTCCCTCCGTCGCTGCCTCCCCTGGCCCCTCTCCTACCTCCATAGTGCGCCGCAACGCCTGCTGGGCGGCACTTGTCATGGAGTCTGCCTCGTCCAGGATCACTACCTTATGTCTACCGGGAGGGAGGACGACCTGAGGGCGAGAGGGAGGGATGGAGGGGGTGAGGGAGGGAGGGAGGGGAGGGGAGGGGGTGGAGGGGAGGGAGGGGAGGGGGGGGACGGAGTAGGGAAGGATGGATGTCCGGAGTCTCGCAGGGAGAGGGAAGGGTGTGCCCCTCAAGGGAGTGGTCCAAGGGATGCGAAAGAAGGAGAGAAACCCCGCCCACTTTGACCCTGATTCTAACACGCACCTTTTTTTGCGCGAACATCTTGATCCGGGAACGGATCACGTCGATGCCTCGCTCGTCCGAGGCGTTCAGCTCCAGCACCGCCGCTCCTGTGGAAATGGCCAGTGGGAGGACGAAAGAAAAGGGGAAGGCCGGCGTGAAGACCTTGCAAGGGCGAGAGTAGGGTAGGGAGAGCAAAGAGGACGCACCCAAATGCTCCTCGCCCAGCAACTCGCGGGACAGGCACACGATGGAGGAGGTTTTCCCAGTGCCCTGGAGAGGAGGGAGGGAAGCCGAGAGGATGTGAGAAGAAGAGGAGAAGGTCGTGATCCTAGCTACGAGACGCACCGGAGGGCCCGCAAGCAGCATGTGAGGCATGTTCCCGTCTTGAGCCACCACCTTCAGGCGGTCGATGGCTTCCGTGTTGCCTACCACCTGACGAGGGAGAGGACCAAAGCGTTTGTATCGTGTGTCCATGGACCAAGGAGGCACAATGAAATGCATGGAAAAATATAGTGCGAAAATTTCTATTTATCCCCGACATAGCCGCCCTGGAAGTCCACACGTGGCGATGCCATGATGCTTGGTATTGTGGCGGTCAAGCCGTGCGAGGCATGAGAGGCACAGGTGAAACCAAAGCTCTGCACAGTAATTCCCCCCCGACATACAAGCTCTCACTCACATCATTCAGTGTGACTGGACGATATTTTTCTACCCAGGGCAAGAGACCTGGAGGCGCGTCTTTCTCCCCCTGCACGTTGGGAAGGGTCCCTGAGGAGGCGGCAGCAGCTGTAGCCATTCTTCCGCTCTGAGGTATATTTTGAAAATTACGGACAAAAATTGAAGTCCCACAAAAAAGGAAAGATGCGAGAGCTAATTATCAGGGGTTCTTTGTTGATGGTGGCTGAGAAAAATGGTCTATATCGGTTGCCGTCATGAGGGTCTCCGCCCCCCGAGGCACAGAAAAGAAGTAACCCCTCTTGTTCTTCGAGATGGGTGAGACTACGCCCTGCGCCAGCCGCGTCCACAGACATTGAATTTTTTATCCAACACCCTGCACCAATGAGCATTCTTAATTACTGTCTGAGGTCGGACTGACCGTCGAAGGCGTCCAAAGAGTTTAAGTTGTTGTCTTTCTTTTGATTATTTTCCCCTACGCCGGGCCTCGCCGAGAAGAGGAAGCGGCAGGGGCGAGGCGGGAAGTGGTGAAGGTCGTGTTTGGACGCAAATAAACATGAAATCACGCTCCCTCGTCCACTACTCAATGGTGTTGTCATAGCTCTTTAAGTTTAAAGCTCAGAGAACTGGGAAGCACGTGACTGAGTCGCGCGTCGAGCGGTTGTGGTGCTGAACGCCGCGGATGTGAAGGAACAGAGAAGCAGTTCCTGAGCGACAAGCGGCGAATGCCTACACCCCAACGTTCCCTTGCCCCTTTTTAGTTGCCAAGCCTGTCGCGAGGCTATAATGAGTCAAAAACTTGAGGAGTCTTCAGATATTTGCGTGAAACGCTAGTCTTGACCCCTTGTCCGGACGAAAGAGAGAGCGACACTCACTTGCTTGCCTTACCTTCATCTTGTTGCGCGCCATCCTCGAACTTTACGTGCTTTGTTGTGATTTAATTGAAAAAGCGCATGTATACAAGCGGGAAGAAGTGACAACGACAAGATATTTCGGACTGTGCATTCTTTTTCTCCGAAAGCGCTAAGAAAGGCTTCAATTTCCGTTTTCTTGTGCCTACCTCTTACCTCCCTGCTTCCCTCCCATGTTACTCCTTTTCCCTCTCGAGCACAGGCGTGAATCGTCGCCCCTTTCCTCTTCCATCCCACTTTTCTTCACAGAAGAGAGAGCATTTCGAGGATGGGGAGGCTTGAGAGAGTGACGCTGGAGAACTTCAAAAGTTATCCGGGGACGCAGGTGAGCCATCGGGCGAGGCGATGGAAGGGGAGGGCAGAAAGCTGGCTTGCGAAGGCGCAGGAGTGGCATAGACCATGACATAAAATAGGCTCTTCCATTTTTGCCAACCTCTTGCTTGCATACCGTCCATTACCGCCCGCTGAGTCAGGTGATTGGTCCCTTCCGAGACTTCACCGCCATCATTGGCCCCAACGGCAGCGGAAAGTCCAACCTGATGGACGCCATCTCCTTCGTCCTCGGCGTGCAGAGCCGGTATGTCGATAGACTGAAATGGAATCGGGACATGCAGGGAGGAATGGTCGCCCATTGTGGAGGGACCTCTCACGTGGCCGCTCCCCTCCCCCCGTCCCCCCTTCCCCTCCTCCTCCTCACCCTCTCTTGGCTCCCCGCCTATTCCCCCAGACAACTGCGATCCAGCCAGATGAAGGAGCTCATCTTCCGCGCGGACGACTTGCAGGGCAGTGCCAGTCGTCGGGCCTTTGTGGAGTTGATCTACCAGATGGACGAGGTGGGTACCATGGAGGGAGGGAGGAGGGAGGGAGGAAGGGTGGGAGAGAGGAAGGTATGAGGGGGTCGAGGGTGGGCCGCTGCGCGTAAGTCAGCCTGACTGGCTGATTGAGAAGCATGGGACCTATGCAATTTGAGGTCTTCATCCTGCCTTCATTCTCCTCTCCTTCCCTCCTTCCACCATCCCCGCCTACGTCTCCCTCCTACCTTCCCCTTTACTCGTAGGATGAGACCGTGCCTGGCTATGAAACAGGCGCTTCTCTCTCCTTTAAGCGGACAATCTCCCCCACCGGAGTGGGCTCCTACCGAATTAACGAGAAGGAGGTCACGGGCGAGGTTCGTGTACCTCCCCTCCCCCTTCCCTCCCCCCCTCCCTCCCCCCCCTCCCTCCATTCCTCCCACCCACGCCCTCGTCCCCCCTTGTCCTCCTTCAAGGCCTACGAGAGCACCCTCAAGTCGATCGGCGTGCTCGTCAAAGCCCGGAATTTCCTTGTCTTCCAAGGGGACGTGGAGAGCATTGCTCAAAAAGCGCCCAAGGACCTGACCGCCCTCTTCGAACAGGTGGGAACGCCCCCCGCGGCTTTCTCTCCCCTGCCTGCGTTGCCCCGCTCTTCCCCCTTCCTGTTCCCCGTCCCGTTTCCCCCGTGTGCGGATCGCCGGCCTCCCTCCCGTTCCATCAAGACCTCCGCCGCCTGCCGTGTCTCACCCCTGCCGACCCCCCCTCCTTCCCTCCCACCCTCCCTGGTGCCCGCAGATCTCTGGCTCCGAGGACCTGAAGGCGTCCTACGAAGAGGCCCGGCGGGCCAAGGAGGAGGCAGACGAGAACGTGATCTTCGCGTACCAGAAGAAGAAGAGCCAAGCCGCGGAGCGCAAGCAGGTACCCTCCCTCTTTCCCTCCTTCCCTCCCGTCTCCAGCACCTCCTGAGAGCCGTCCAAACATTTTGTCTCGAGTGGCTATCTTGGATACTTTTCTTTTATTTCTGTCCCCGCCCGCGTGCCTCTCATCTTATCTGTCCCTCCCTCCCGCCCTCCGTCCCCCCACTCCCCAGGTGAAAGAGCAGAAGGAGGAAGCAGAGCGTTATGCAGCCAAGAAATCGGAGCTCAGTGCGTTGACTACCGAAGGTACGGTAGACTGCTTCTTTGCCGCGCGCGTCCGTCGGCCCCACCTCCCTCCCATTCGCTCTCCCCCTTCCTCCCTCCCCCCCTCTGCCCGCCCCTTCCTCCTCTCCTGCCAGCGTACCTGCACCGGCTCTACCACGTCAAGCGGGAGCTCGATCAGAACGAGGCCAAGCTCTCCGTCGTCCGCTCCGAATTCTCCCAGGCCCTGGAGCAGGAGCAGGTGCGTCCCTCCCGCATTCATCTCGAACCCTCTCGCTTCTCCTGACCTGCGTATCGCTAACCCTCCCTTTATCCTCCAGTCCCTGGAAAGCACCATCCAGGCAGAGAAAGCGGAGGCGGCAGTCCTGCAGAGGGACGTGGGCAAGGCCGAAAAGGAGCAGGCCAAGCGACGGGAGCGGCTGGAGGCTTTAGCCCCGGGGAAAATCAAGGAAGAACAAGGGCTCAAGGTACGCCTTTCCTCCCTTCCCCCCTCGTTTCCTTCCTCACGAGCCACGGATTGATGCGTCTCTACTTTTCCCTTCTCCCGCAGGCCCGGCAAGAAAAGCTCAAGGCGGAGAAGGAGGCGGGTATGAGCATGCGCGAAGACTTGCTGCAGCAGAAGGAAAGAAAGAAGGGACTGGCGGAGGTGAGAGGGGGTGGGGGAGCGGAGAGAGATTCGGTACCGGCGGACACGAGGAAGTATCCAGGGAAACAAGGCTAGCGTTCAAGAGGGTGTGGCATGAGAGATTGGGAGAAGGGAGGGGCGTGCAAAGAGAGGAAAGACTGGAGACAAGTCTCAGTAGCTGGCATCCGTCCATGTTGTGATGGAGCAAGGTACCCCCCCATAACGGTCCTCCCCACGCCCGCAGGACATCGCCAAGCTGGAAGCCACGGAGCAGGAGCTCCAGATCAAGCAAGCGGAGGCGATGGAGGAGATGCGGGCGAGCGGGGTCACACTCTCTGAGGCCAAGGTGGGGGGAGAGAGGGTGGGAACGGCATGAGGCACCGTCACGGCGTTGTGTCGCATTGCTCACGTCTGGCTTGCTTCCTCTCTCTTCCTTCATCTTCCTTGCGACCAAACGTACTGCCCATGATCTCACCCGTAGCTCCAAGAGTACAACAAGCTCAAGCAGCAGGTGTCGGCGCAGTGCCAGGAGGGGAAGGCGCGTCTGCAGGCGTTGGTCCGACAGCAGGAGGCAGACAAGGTGGGAACGCCCTTCCTTCCCGCCTTCCTCTTTTCCTCTTTTCTTCCCTGGCCCTTACCGTTCCTTCTTGCTTGTCTTTTCCCCTGTTCCTCCTGGCTGGGTCTCCATCTCGCAGACCGAAGCCGCTGTCCAAGAGAGAGAACTCTCCCTCCATCTCGCGACCAAGGTGAGACTTCCTCCCCCCCTTCTCCTTTCAGTCGCCGCCTTCTCTCTGTAACCCCCGTCCCTCCCTTTGACCGCCCAATGCTCTTGTCCCTGTGGTTGCTCTCTCAGGAATCAGCAGCCCGCGACATCGAGCAGCAGAGCGCCAAGACCCAGCAGTTGAGCGCTGACTTGCAGAAGAGGGCCAAGGAGAGCGAGGTTTGTCTTTTGTTAATCCGCCCTCACCCTCTTTCTCGGATCCTCCCCTCTACTTCCCTTTTCTTGCCACGCTTCTCTTGTTCTTGCCCGTTAATGTCATTCTTGTTGCTTCGTTGAGATGGTGCGGGCCTCCCTCCCTCCCTCTCTCCCTCTTTCTCTCTTTCCCTCTCTCCCTCCCTGCCTGCCTTTTCTCCTTTTCTCCATCTGCATTCGACGCGCTCCTCGTCCCTTTCAGTGTCATCGCCGCTGCCTTTCTCACGGAGGATCCTTACCCCCCGCAGCAACTCGAGAAAGACATCGCGCGTATGGAGCAGGAGGGCCGAGAGGCGGAGGAGCGACTTGTGGAGGTGAGATGGAGGGAAAGAGGGGGTGAGGAGCGAAGGGGAGGAAGGAACGAATAAGGCAGGGTGATGAAAATTCGATGAGCGATGTCGCTGTACGAGATGAAACCATGTCGCTGTACGAGATGAAAATCGATGATGAATGTCGCTGCACGAGATGAAAAATCGATATGCAATATCGCTGCACGTGATGAAAAATCGATGAGCACTGTCGCTGTGCACGTCTAAAAGCCACCTTTCATGCGTGCCGCAATCCTCATCCCTCTCGCATCCGTGGCCGTCTTGCCAATCGCCTTGCCCCCTTGGCGTAGGTGCGGGCGGAGATGAAGGGGTTAGAGGATCAGCAACGGGCTTACCGGCAGGAGCGAAAGCAATCTCAACATGAGGAGAAGATGGCGGCCGCGTTGGGTAAGAAGGGGGGAGGATGAGTCAGCGGAGGAAAGACAAAGGTTTCTCGCAGAGGGAACGAAGGGTATGTCGGATGATAAGTATGCTGCGAAAGAGATCAAGCGATCGGCTCATTTTGTGCGTTTCCAATGACCACATCTTCCTTTCGTCGCCTCCCCTACGCCTGGACAGAGATTATGAAAGACATGTACCCGGGCGTAAAGGGCCGCCTGGTCGACCTGTGTCGGTAGGTACTCCCGCATCCAGCCAATTCCACCAAAACTCCCGCATCCAGCCAATTCCACCAAAACTTCTCACTCAACTTTTCAACCTTCCTCCCACTACTCGCGCCACCCTGCCTGGTTCCCTCCTTCCCCTAGCCCCTCATCTCGTAAATTCAACCAAGCCGTGGCAGTAGCAGGCGGGCGGTTGATGGATGCCATCGTCACGGATACAAAACAGACAGCCTCCGAATGCATTCGGCATCTGCGGTGCGTGATGTCGTCAGAGGGAGGAGGAGGAAGACCCAGCGACACTAATAGAGGCATCGTTCCTGATCCTTTCCTGACACATACAGGGAGCAACGTGTCGGTGTCGCAGATTTCATCCCCCTGTCGGGCATCAAAGACAAGGTACCCGGATGCTTCCTTGTTTGTCTCGGTCCCGCCTTCTCGGTCGCTCCTCTGCTCGCTTTTTGAAAAGATGACTCCCTCTGATCTCTTTACCCTTGCCCTTGCCCTTGCCCTTGCCCTCCCTCACTCCTTCGCTGCTCCAGTCGCCCAATGAACGCTATCGGGCCCTGGGCGAAGCCTTTCGCCTGGCTGTGGATGTCATCGAGTGCGAAGACGAGATCCGGTGAGTGTCTTAGCCCCCCTCCTCCCCTCCTGGCTCCCATCCTTGATGCCCACTGGCTCCTCCCCACCCAATATCCGTGCCCAGCCCTGCTGTCGCTTACGCAGTGGGACCCAATACCGTCATCTGCGACTCGCTGGATGACGCTCGGCATCTCTGCTTTCGGAAGAATGAGAAGGTGAAGAACAGGCGCCAGCCGCGCCCCCCCCCCCCCCTCCCAATCTCTTTCCACTCTCCTTTCCCTCCGTATAGCTCCACCCCTCTCACATCCCTATGCCTGCTCCCTCAAATGCTGTAGCGCCTTTGCCATTAAGCGTCGTTGACCTTTCCGACTGTGTCTTCCTTCCTTTCTATCCTTCTCTTTCTGTTGTTCTGAACGGCTTGTCTGTTCAAATTGGAGAGTACCGTCCTCGCCCCACTTGAACATGATTTAACGCACGTCCATTCATCTTCGCCCACCCTCCGGCCCTGGCTTTCCCTCCCTTTTCTTGTCCTTCAAGGTGAAAGCGGTGACCCTCTCCGGGTCGGTCATCGCCAAGGACGGGACCATGACGGGCGGGAAGGTGGAGGAGGCAGGCGGGGGAAGGAAGGGAGGGGGGGGCACGACCGGGAGGTAAGGAGGGCCAGCGAGACAAAGGGGGCAGAGAAGGGGAACAAAAGAGGGTGCTCCATGGGGTAGAGCCATCCTCGCCGATGTTAGCGATCTCAGCCCCATGATTTCTCGGCGTCGTTTGTGTGTCTGGTTCCTCATCTGGCCCAGTCTCCTTCATGCCCGAAGCCTTACTCCACCCTTCTTCTTTCTTTCCTCTACGCACCCAGATGGGACGCGCAAGACATGCGGACGGTAAAAGAAAAACTGGAGGCGCTGGAGGCGGAGGCGAAGGAAATAAGCAGGGGCCGTAGCAAGCAGGCGCTCGCAGACAAGTAAGTGAAGGATGTATGCCGCCAAGGGGTGGGGAAAAGCTAAGTCTTGAGGCGGTCTCCAAATTATGCGACTGCCGCTCCTTGTTAATCCCCATTCTCCTTCCCTTCGTCACTCCCTTCCTCCCCACCCAGATCCACGGCCTTAAATCAATTGCGCTCGCGCCTGGCTACTACAGACCAGGCCGTCGCCTTTTGCCAAAGCCGGATCAAGGAATTGACAGGTACAACGATTCTACTGCTTCATTTCCTTCCTTTTCTTTCCCCCGCAAGCCCGCTTTTCGCCACTTGTCTCCTCTTCTTTCACGCCTCCTGATTTTTCCTCCTTCTCGTGTTTGCTGCTATCCATCTATCACTGTTTGTCATTTCACGGAGGAACGTCGAATGCTTCCCTCACATACACTCCTTTCCCACATCTCTCTCCTGCGCTTCCTTAAATTTTCTCCCTCTCATTAGTCCAACTCCAAGCGGCCGAGAAGGCTGCAGGCAAAGTTCAAACTGCTCAAGATGCGCTCTCCGCGAGAGTCTCGACGAGGCAGAAGGAAATGCAGGAGGTGAGGGTCGGAGGATTCTGTGGAGGAAAGAGAGAGAAGGCATAAAGGGTTCAAATCCCCCTTTAACGTGCATCACTACGGAACTGACTCTTGGTGGCACTTTTTCCTCTTCGGTTTTCGTCTCATCGTTTCTCCCCTGTCATGTACCTAGGTGAGAACAAGTATGGAGGCCGTGGAGGACAAGATCTTCGCTGCTTTCTGCAAGGCCCTATCCTTGAAGAACATCCGCGAGGTACGAGACATCCTTCTTCCCTCTCTCGTTGGTTTGTACGCTGAGATACACGTGCTGATGAGAATTGCTTTCTCCTTTTCGCGCCATACTCGCGTCCTCTCGCTCCTTGCCTTCCTCCCTCCCCATTGGGTTATTCACTTGGCATCTCTCTTTGTGAACCCATTCTATACCCATCAGTACGAGGAGCGCGAGCTCAAGGCCATGCGTGAGTGGGAAGAAAAGTTGGCTTCCCTGAGGGACCACAGGGACAAGCTCCGCGCTCAGCTCGATTACGAAGAAGGTAGGTTACGGGTCCTTCGCTTTCGCCGTCTGCCTCTTTCCTCCCTCCTTTCTTTCTGCGGGGTTCAGGACGCCATGCCAGAATCAGAATGGCTTCAGAGTGCGAGCTTATACTCTCTTTCCTGATCATACATCTCCTCTGTTACAGGGCGAGACTTCGAGGAACCTCTAAGGAAGGCCATCGAAAAGGTCAAGGCGCTCAAGGCTGAAATTAGGACTGGTGAGAGTCACTGCTCCTTGCGATCTTCCCTTCCTTCCCTCCCCCCCCTCTTTCGGACGCCCTCTCACCGTTGCTTTTGATGTTCTTGCATTGGAATACTGTTCGATGCTCGAAGCGGGGCCCACCGCGTGTACCTTGTGTTCCGTATTTTTCCCTGCTTCCTCGCATGCCTTCTCCATTCGGCGTGTGCCACCTCGGCTTCACCCTACAAAACGCAAGCCTCTTATATGGCATTCGAAGGTCTCAACCCTCGCGTCGTATACGTTGGCACCTTTTCCTCATATGTCCCTATGTCTCTTCGAATCGCAGGCGAGGATAGTCTGGCGTCTTTGCACAAGAAGGAGGAGGGTCTCAAGGAAGCGATGCAGGAAGCGGAGGCCACGTTGGCTGAAGCGAAGGTAAGGAGTTGCGACCTCTGGGACAGAGCAGGGATTTAATTGGAAAATCAGGTGCGCTTTATGACAGTGCACGATTTCCTCAATCTTATCCTTCTGCAGTCCCTGTACGAGGAAAAACAGAAACTTGTCCGGGGACTGACGAAGAAGCGCACCTCCTCTGGTATGTGTCCTTCCAACGTCCTCTTTCCATCCCATGCGCTTTATAGATCTCGGTTCCTCTTTGCATTACTGCCTCTTTAAACTCCTTTTTACCCATCTCGAATCTCTGTTCTTATCCTAGTCGCTGCCCGGACGGAGATCGCCAGTAAGATCACGCACGAAGAAAGCGCCTTGGAGCGCATTCGGGCCCGCATACACGACATCCTGCAGAAGGCGCGCGTGGACGAGGTACCTTCTTTCTTCTCTTCCTTGTTCACGCCCTCTTTGCTCCTCCCCCCTTTTAAGCCGGCTGTATGGCTCGTTCGAACATCCTCCCAGCTCTTCCGTGATAAACCACTCGCAAAACGGCCATAGATGAAGGTGGATGTGCCACGCTCAGTCGAGCTTTGTGTCCAGCGATCGAGGCTCTTTGAGCATTCGACTGTCTCAGCCAACTCATGCTCTCTCGCCCCATTTTGGTCCTGTTGACGCGGCCGTTTAGGTTGACCTTCCCATGCTTGATAACACGGAGGAGGGAGAGGATGGCGAGGAAGATGGGGAGGAAAGCGAGGAGACTGAAAGCGAAGCAGGGAGCGGGGTAGGTAGCGGGTGAAGCTCTCAATACTTCTTTCCCCTTCCTCTTCACATTCCTGTTTACCTCCCTCGCTCTCTTTATACCCTTTTTCCTCCCTACGGCACTGCTGATTATGACCTTCCCATTCCTTTACATTGTTCTCCATCCTCTCTTCGTTAGATGAAGAAGCTGCGAGGGTCGACTTCAACCGCCTCTTCCTCCTTCTCGGGCGGTGGGGAGGCAAGCACGCATCCCTCCCAAAGTCAGGCTCCCAGGATCAGGAAGGATAGAAAGGAGCTGGACAAGGCAAGGCGGGAGGGAGGGGGGGTGAGATATATGAGGAAGACAATGGGGAACAAAGAGACGTAGAGGTGGATGAGGCGGAGTCGTAAAAATCAATGACTTGGGGCGACTGGGCGACTCAGCGGTGGATGGCTGGTATTATGGATCCTCGTGACAGAAAAGTCTCTCACCCTCTGCTCTCTCCCTCCCTCCTCGCATTTTTCAGATCGACTTCTCCTCCCTTCCCAAAAAAGAGAAGGTCGCCAAGGCCCGTGACGAGCTCGAGACTACCCGCAAGCGCTACCATGATAGAATCGCCGATCTTCAAGGTGCGTCCTCATCCCTTTCGGTTGCCACGTCGCCCTATGAGCTTCCCTCATTCTTTCCATGTCTATATTCTCCTGAGGGAGAAGGGTAATTCTATTGTTAAATTTCCCTCTCGTCTTATGTGCCGTATGAGTTGTCTGTTCTACATCCTGCCCTTCACCAAGTCGCGCATTTTTCCTCTGCCGGTCGCCCATCGTCACCCCTGCCCTCGTTTTTACGAGCCTTGAAGCTTCTTATTTCTCACATCCTCCCCGCCCTCTTACTTGCTTTTGTTTCACCTGCTTGCAGGCGAGGTAGAAAAGATGCAGCCGAACATGCGGGCCCTGGAAAAATATGAGGAGATGAGCCGCCGGGTGAAGGAGGTAGGCAAATCAATTGTCCAAGGCGACAGCCTGGGCTCACCCTCCGTGAGTTCTAGATCCAAATCGCCTTTCCCTTTTTCCCTCGTGTCCCGCGCCTTTTTCCTTCATCCTCCAGGCGGGCGACGAGTACGAGGCGGCCAAAAAGGCGGCTCAGGAGAGCAATGCCCTCTATTCCCACCTGCGACAAGACCGATACGTAGGTTTCGACCTCGTCCCTCAGATCCTGGCTCCTCCTTCGCCTACCAATCATTTCTTCTTCCTCGATCCTTTCCTCCCATTCTTTCACTGTTCCTCAGGAAAAGTTCATGGACTGCTTCGGGCACGTCTCGGATGCCCTGACCAGTATCTACAAGGACTTGACGAAAAGCAGCAAGCACCCGCTCGGAGGACAGGTAGAGCGTCCTGTCTGCCCTCTCTCCCGTTCGCAGCTTCTCTGTTGAGCCCGCGAGATTGCACACTATAATTCTTCTCTTCCGTCCCACAGCTACCGCGCTGACTCCTTGTCTTTCCCTTCTCACTCGCCTCTTAGGCCTACCTCTCACTAGACGACTCAGACGAGCCCTACCTCGGAGGCGTCGCTTACAACGCCATGCCCCCCATGAAGCGGTAGGCTCCATTCAAGCATTCATGCTTCGACCTTCTCGTCCCAGATGTCCTCCAGCTTTTTGCACACCTCTCATTCGTCTTCCTTTTGCCTGTTGTCCTCCCTTTCCTATGCAGCTTCCGAGACATGGAACAGCTTTCGGGCGGAGAAAAAACAGTCGCTGCCCTGGCCTTACTTTTCGCCATCCACTCCTACAGACCAGGTCGGTGCAGGAAAAAAAAGGAGTGACTTCTTGGAAATTTTACATGTGCATAGATGTAAATGTACAAAAAATGAACAGGGACACATCAACATCATGCTAATAAGCAAATTCTCTCCCGATTTCCTCCCATTTCGTCTTTCTTCGCCGAGCTCAGCCCCCTTTTTCGTGCTGGACGAGGTGGATGCCGCCCTCGACAACGTGAACGTCCGCAAAGTCTGCCATTACATCAAGTACGAACGGGGAGGACCGTGCGTGGGATATGTCCTGCCTTGGCGTATTTGATAGCGGACCTCAAGCGCCATATGGGTTTCCTCCCTTACCTCTCCCTTCCCTTGCCCTCCCTCACCTCTCTCTCTCTCTCCTCACTCGCAGACAGCGATCGGGAGAATTCCAGTGCCTGGTGATCTCCCTCAAGGACATGTTCTACGAAAACGCCACTGCGCTCGTGGGCGTCTGCCGGTAAGGGTGGATAGGGGAAAGGAGGGAGGAGGGATGAGTAAATGGCCTGCGGGATAATTTAGGTCTGGGGCATGTGTGAGATGTGTGTGCATGACGGGGCTGTGATGGGACAAACTTTCCAAAGATTTTTTTGAATCGTGCTCCTAAAGCTGTGGGTTGATCTTGCGCCCTCTATCCCTGATTCCCCGTCCCTCACCCCCTCTTGCAGAGACAAGGCCTCCAATGGCTCTCGCACGCTGACGCTGGATCTGGACCAGTTCGATGTGCAGCCGGAAGACGACGTTGATGAACAAGGAAGGGGTTATGGGCCTGAGGAGGTGGAAGGGAACTGAGAGGTATAGACGCGGGGCACGCACGTGCCAACAAGTCGGTGAATATGAAATCAAGCATGCAAACTGGTCGTGGGACGTGAGCGAAAAGCAAGCAAAGAATGCACATGAGCACAGTTGAACAGAAGACGCAGACAATGGATGTATGGATCGCCGCTTTACAAGGATTTGGAGAAAGCGTCGTAGCCTGGATGCACAATATGTTGATTTTTACACTTATTTACATGTCTTGATTGCCAATGTAGCCTCACTTTCTCTTCCACGCAGAACATCTTGACAAAGACCGATGGCTACTTAGTCCTAGAGGCTATTCCACCAACGGATTCGTGGTAAAAGGTGTCCGAGCCGTCAATTTCCCCGGATTACCAGTTACCACGAAAAATCCGCACACAACCTCTGGACCGTCCTGTCTACACACTTCACAGACCCGGATATTCTTGCATCGGGCAACGTTGCCATAATTTGTCGTGATATTGGCACATTGCTGAGTGAAGAAACAATTTGTGTACCCTTGATATGGGGGTGCTCTCCGAAGGCCTGCCCCAGTAAAATTCGCCGTCTTTAAAGGTTTTAAGGCTCCCTCCTCCAAAAGTTGTAGCTTCCGTGTGTAATGTTGGTACCTCAACACAGCCAGGTGCGCATGATTTTGGCTGCGTAAGTGCCAACGCGACGGATAGTGTTTAGGTCCTTCTCCCCTTAAAATAACTCCGCCTTTTTCGCCAGAGGCATCTTTATCTTGCACTTCCCCCTCACCCCCTTCTTCATTCAAGAAGGCGGAGAATGTGTACCTCCTAGATGGATTCTTGATGATGACCAATGACGAGTACCACTTATTCAGGCTCTCTTTCAAGGTCTGTAGTGCTCTCAACCCCCCCTCCTCATCTGGAGCCTCGTCCCATGATACGTTACGAACGTAGTTCTGGTATACCAAAAGAAATAAAAGAAATAGGAGGAGCAGTCTGCGGAGACAAGTGGAGCACATAGGCATATTCGCATGAAAGTGGCTGTATAATTGTAAGGATCGATGTTAGGTAGGCAGGAGGTTGTCGGCCTGAAGATGATACCAAGGCCAGGCTAGCCAATGCAACAAAAAATAAAATACTCTGGCAATGACTGAACTACCACATAATCATAGATATAAGTGCCTGGCCGAAAATCATAATGAGTGGACGTAGACAGTGCAGAAGTTGCACAACAAGGGGAAGACGAATGTTCGCTCCCCGAGTATTTCGAGCGAGCCGGCGATCTCCTATGCTCTGTTTCTTGCGGACATAAAGGTAACAAAAGTTAAACTTCAGTCATTGAATACAATCAATAAATTGGCTGCCTTTCGAATGCACAGTTACACGCAGGTGCAAGTGCATGTTGCATTCTGTACCAGGCATACTTGCCTCCAGGGCCTCCTGCCGCTTTTCAATCAGACGTACTTTCCAACTGAACGCAACGCAGCGGTTCCCAACTCAGCCTTTGCTCCAACACAAAAGAGGTGCGACAGCATGTCAGTGGACGTGGATCTAGGTCATAGGACAGAGCATGAGAAGTATGTGTCTTCAATAAGCCCACTGACCTCCCTCCCGTTCCCCTTCACTGCGGATAGTGATGTCCTCTGCGCAGGCTATCACGCCTACTACACTCTGGCTCTTGCAGTACCACTATGTGAATGATATTCTTGATAGACGGGGGCCTCACCGTGCAGAACACTTGGCGGGCCTGACTCAAGCAGCAAAGGAAGGGAGCTTGGTCCTCGGTACGTGAGGAGGGAATTCGAAGGTGGGAGAGATGTGGGGGACAAGAGAAGGTAGAGGGTTTGTCTGGTCGAGGCCGCTGAGATGAGAGAGTTTAGCCATGTTGCTGATATGCAGATGAACACAATTAGGAGAAGGCATGCATGCAAAAATTTGACTCCCGACCGTAAAAGCGCGATTATTGTGTGAATGAACCCTCATTCGCTTGATCGCTCTTGTCTCAACGCCCCTCTCTCGTCGCCACCATGGGGTGCCGCCACACCTATCTCTCAGGCGGTGCGCTGGCCGATCCTGTTGATATGGGTGTTCTCGTTTTCACCGACAAAAGTGTGGCGGAGAATTTTGCTGCCGCAGACGCCTATGTGAAAGCGGGCCTGGTCAAGGAGTGGCAAGTACGACAGTGGACTGTCGTGGCAGGTTCGAAGATCTGAGGGGGAAGGGGCATGCAACCAGAGCGACAGAAAGGATCATGGAAGCGAAAGAAGCAACTGCATAGGACAATGTTTGTATTTTCTCGTTACTAGTTTGGTTTCGTGCTAGTGCGCTCCCTCCTCGGCCGTGTGAGAAGGTCAATGGGGACCGTCCCAACCCGGTTCCTCGGCGCCCTCCCTCATACACACGCTATCTGAGCTTGAACCTCCGTAAGACGTCTCAGACGTAATCGGGTGACTGAATACCCAGCGGCACCCACGGGGATGGAAGAATCCGTCGTCCTCCCTTATCACCCTGCCCGAGGCGCTCTTCCCCTACTCCGCATACACACATTTGAGCAAGAAAGTAGTTCGCCCTTGGCTTTCCGCCGCATTATATACCCCTCCTTCCCGGCTTCACCCACCCGCCCCTCCCAGTCCCCCATCCCCTCTCCCATGCTCAGAACGCCTTGGCCTTTTCTTTGATGTCCTCGGCCGCTGCCTCCTCGTCGGCCTTTTTGATGAAAGAGACCGCGTCCTTGAGCCAGGAACCCGACGACGGGGACGGTGCCTGTGGCGGGGGTAGGAAGGGGGGGTGGCGCGGTCAGGTACGGGAAGAAAAGAGCAGAAGCGTGGGCTCACAGGGGTGGCGACGTCTTCGCCCTCCTCTTCTTCCTCCGGCTCACCCTCCTCCTCCCTCTCTCTTCAGGCCCCTGTGGCCGTCTCCTTCTTAATGAAGGACACGGCGTCCTTAATCCATCCTTTGACCGCCTCCCGCTTCCGGCCTCCGTTCATCGAAGAAGCCTGGAGCGAGGAGGAGGGGGGGAGAAGGAAGGAGGGGAAGGAGGGAAGGGAGGGGACGGCCCAGCCGGTGAGCGGCTTGCGGCACGGGCGGGACGGCAGAGGAGAGGGAGCCTGCGAGGAAAAAGGCGGGACCTAGGCGCGGAAGGTCTGCGTCCCCGAGATCGGTACCCACTCTCCGGCGAGCACGGCCACGGCGGTCGGCTCACAGGGGCCAGGACAGCCCCGCATGCCCGAGGAACTACTCTTCTCCCGGCAGACTTACGACCCCAACCACCCAACGCTTCTTCTCTCTCTCTTTGCCGTCCGCCCTCCCTCCCGCCCTCTTGCCTACCTCCATCTCGTTCAGCTCGCAGTGTGTCCCCGAGGGATCGCAATGGATGGCGTTGATAGGAATCTCCTTGAAATCCACCCACCGGCCCTCAAGAGCCGATTTCTCCGCCGCTGTTCGAAGAGGAAAAGGGGGAAACGAAGGCGAATGAAAAACGAGGCAGCAAAGGGGGGGAGGATGGAAGGGTCCATGGGCCTAGAGACGTGCCTCCCTCATGCGTTTCCGTCCTTCCCCCCGCCCTCCCACCCTCCCTCCATACCGATAGCCATGACCAGGGCGATGAGGCCGTCCTCCCCTGTGCAGGGGACCGGTCCGTCCTCTGAGAGGCACTTGACGAATTCCTGGAGGCAGGGACAAGCGAGGAGCGGTGAGAGGGGTAGGGGTCATGAAAGAGGGGAGATGAGTCACCTCCCGCCAACAGCCTCTCTCTATTTTCGTCGCCTCCTCCAAGCCCCTCCTCCGATCCGCCCCTTGGTCTTCCCTACCCCACTCTCCATTCCCCCATACCCGCCTCTCCCCCCCCTCCGACCTTAGTCTCCTGCAGATAGGCGTCCTTGTAGCGGGACATGAAAAAGTCGTAGGGCAAGTCCGCGTTACGCGTCGAGTCCTGGAAGAGGGGAGAAGACAGGGGAGAGACAAGATATCGCAAACCAAAGGGCAGGGGGGGGTGAGGCACGGTCGGCTCCAGGACGTCTGCCGACGTTCGAGAAGGTTGCTCCGGCCTCTGTCCCTGCTCCCTCTGCTCCTACCTTGGTAAAGATGCGTGCCGTGTTGGGGTACATGTTGTCGGTGGCAATCATGCCCTTCAGGCCCAAAACCTGGCGCGCAGGGAGGGAGGGAAAGAGGGAGGGAGGGAGGCAAGGGGAAGGAAAGGGACGAAGGGAAGGATAATGAAGGCGATGCCACACACGGGCGGATGCGAGAGTTCGAGGAAGCAATAGGAATGAAAGGGAATAGAAACGCTATTTTCGGATTCGTTTGCCTCCCCCCATGACTCCCCTTTTTTGTTTCCTTCCTTCCGCCCTCCCCTCCTTTCCTCACCTCCGCCCGCTGGTCATAGCCGTACGGGGCCTGGCGACACACGTCAATGGTGGCGGTCTTGCCGCCCGGGTACTTGACGATGACCACAGCTGGGGGAGGGAGGGAGGGCGGGAAGGAGGGCAAGGTAAGTGTCCTTCGCAGGGGCTCAAACTCCTCTCTTGCAGCCACAAACAAGTACCACCAATGCTGCTTTCCACCCATGCGTGGAAGGGTCGAAGGAAGGAGGGAGGGAGGGAGGGAGGGAGGGAGGGAGGGAGGGAACGGTCTGCCCCTCACCCGTGTCGAAGGCTTCGGCGCCGGGGAGGGAGCCGATCCGTTCGTCGATGTGGCAGGAGCCGAGCGCCAGGATGGACTCGGGCTCGGTGCCCATCAGGAAGCGAGACATGTCAAGGTCGTGCACCGCCATGTCCTGTGGAGAAGGAGGGGCGTCAGGTAAGGCTTGCGGGAGTGGCGGTCGACGGGCCTTTCGAACAAGCCGCCTCGTACCTTGAAGATGCCACCCCCGCCTCGGACGTACTCGAAGGGCGGGGGAGAGGGGTCGCGGGACGTGAGCTTCACGCTGACCACGTTACCTGGCATGGGGAAAGAAAGTAATGGCGGGTAAGAGGGCAAATGGGTAATCCCGGCTCCAAGGGATGGAGAAAGGGAGAGGAAGCGCCTTGTCCAGTATGCCCGAGCTCGGGTGCCCTTGCCCCGTCCGCGACTCCTTGCTTCGCTCCACCTCCGTCTTCTCAGTCTTGTCGGGAGCCAAACCTCACATTCTCCCGTGCCTTCCCCCCTCCACACCCACCGACTTCTCCTTCGAGAATGGCTCGCTTGACTCGGGCGAAATTCGGGTCGAAGCGGCGCTGAAGGGCTGTCATGAGCTTGACGCCCGCCTCGCGGCAGGTATTGATGGCCTCGATCGTCTCAGCAAGGCCTGAAAGATAAGCAATGGATGCGGTAAGGGGGCGGAAGGAGTGATGAGCTGGGAAGGTGGGAGGCGATGGGACTAGACAGAGGAGGAAAACGAGGCGAGAAGCGAGGGCGCCACCTCCAACACATACCCGTCGCAATGGGCTTCTCGCAGAAAACATGCTTGCCGGCCGCTGCACAGGCCTGTTCTCGATGGACAAGTAAGACATCGAATCAGACTCCTTTCGCCACTCCCACTCTCTTCTCCCATCCACCCTCCCTCCGCCGGCTGCCCCTGCATGCTCCCTTCTCGCCGACCACCACGACCTCCGGTACCCTCCCCATCACCTTGATCTGGTCGGCATGATATTGAGAAGGAGAGCAGATCCACACAGCATCTACGTCTGGGTGCTGGATCACCTGCAGGAAGGGACATCAGGGATAACACGGACGCGGATGAGCTGCTGCTTCCGAGCAAGCAAGCGTCCATCAACCAATACCCACACGAAAGCCTTACCACCGCTCCCCTTCAGTTGCCTGTCCTCACCTTCATTGCGTCATCTGTGAACTCCCTGGCATTGAATTTGACGGCCGCCTCTTGAGCCTTCGCCACAGTGGGGTTGGAGATGATAACCGGGATGGCGCTGGGGCTGTGTGATAGGATGGATACAAATGTAAGAGGAAAAATCGTGACTTCAAGACTCACTCTGACATGCCTTGGAATTGATACTCCCATAAATATCGAAATAACATAGAACTTTCCCTTGCATTCATGTTATCTCCGCCAAATTGAATCCGTCCTTGTCTTCATGCATTTTCCACGATCTTCCGTCTTACCAGCCAGCTAGAGCTTCCAAGTGCACGATGCCAATGCGACCGGCACCGATTATCCCTACACCGACATCTTTCATGGCCATGAGGCGGCTCCAGCCAGCTGTACGCCCGACTTCTGGGGCCATAAGAGACGCGCCTCTTGAAGGGAGGCGGACGGGACCAGGGACAAAAGCCTGGGTGGTCGCCGCGACGGCCAAGAAAAAGCTGAACGAGAGACGCATGATGAAGAACGCCTGTGCTCCCTCCGACGCGCAAAAGAGTGGACAAGCGAGTAACAGATGGGTATGACACCATTTTAATGATGCGCCGTGCGCGTGGTGTTAGCAGGGCCTGAGATCGTGCGCAAGAACGGGATCGGCATGGCTAGTATCATGATCGAAGGCGAGGCAGGCGAAGCCCAGCGAGGACGAGTGTGGTGTGGTGAATTTGATTTCCGCGCTCACGGGGCCGATGGCCCCGCAAATTACGTTCTTCTAACGTGAAGTATGCTTATTGCCATTTCCTTCATAGACCTGGAAATGCATGGATGCCACGGTATGTGCTCCAATGAGGTCCATGGCTGAACAAAGTCCGCTGAATGCATGCCTTGGGATTCGTTTAGTGGTCTCCAATATTAAAGATATATGCCGTCAATACCCATCATCCACGATCCAAGACATGTTGAGAGTCGTGGATGACAGCCTCGCTTTTCTTGAGCACGTGCAGGCTGAGGAGTGGCTCCGAGCAGCCCTGCGAGGAGGGGGAACGGATGTGTTGAAGGTGGTCGACGACATGGCACCGAGTCGTGCCTCCGCGTCCGGAGTACGCAGGAGACGACAAATAGGGGAAAAGGCCCTCTGAAGCCTTCGACGATTGGCCGGAGAAGATTTGGGGCATTTACGGAAAGATGGAGATTAGCCTTGGCCGTTCTCGACACATGCCAGTGGAGCAATTGACGGACGAGTAATTGCGCTGCAACAGGGTTCTAGATGGCGAGTTCAGTGGAAACTCCGCTCGGTACTGTCCTGGAAAATCCGAGTCAATATCCTGGACAAAGCTTCGCAGACCTGATTCAGGCACTTTGTCGTGGGTAAAAGACTGGCAGCAGAGTTTGTGCGCCCCTCACACGGCCTGCGGTAGATGCCACTTGAGACGCAGTGGGGCTATTTAAGGGGCTGTGGAAAGTAGCACCAAGCCTGTTGGAGCTTTGCGGGCCCAATCACAGCAATCAAACAAGCGTCAAAGGCGACGTAGAGCGCCTATCCAAAGATTTCAGGAAGGCCCTCGGTCATAATACGCCGATCAGCGAAGCCGAGAATGTCGACTTGCTTCGGTTTTGAAGCCATCGGTTAGTTACTGATGGAATGTCCCGATTTTTCGGGATCCGTCGGAATTGGGACCACACAGGATCAAGTAAAGATAGCATCAAGATGGGCGCTGCCATCACCCTTTCACGGGAAGAGGATACAGACCGTAGCCGCCCCATCCCGAGATGGCTCATGCTGCTGACTGTATGAAGTGACTTTATGCACTCAGAGATGCCACTGGTTTTCAGTCTGTATGCATCGATTTGTTGTGTCCTCGGCAATCACAATACGATTCCACTAAGGTATGCGTGATTTTCTGCAGCTTCGACGCGACCCAGGGAGGAATGTCATTCTTTTGACATTGAAGCCTTCCCTTACTAGGCGAGGTAGTGATACTATTCTGGTCTTCATTATTGCATTTATGGTAGATGCCATGACATCAGGTCAGCGACTGGACTTGTCAGACTTGCGCTTGAAAGTGTAGTATGAGTGTATATATGAAAGTCAGGGTAAAGATTACAAGAAGCCTGTAAGGGGAGCAAATTGTTGAAGAGGGTTCAGACTCAGCATGCGTGCAGAATATTGCAACGTGAGGAGATGTGCTCTAAAGAAAAGGTAGGTAGGACGCTTACCCTCATTACCTGTGTTTTCCTTTTCATTCTTTTCCTCCCCTCTAATATCATCCTTGTTGCCGTCTGCAATCATCCTCCTGTACAGTGCTCTTTAAAGAACCATTTCCTTTCTAAAAGTCCCAAGGGTGATGTAAGGAAACTATTATCAATGCATGAGCGCTCCGTTGTGGCCTCGTGCTTTCCTCCCGTCCTTCCATCTCACTCTCTTCCTTCCTCCGACCCCTTCTTCTTCAATTTGGCCTTCTCGATCTGCGCCGCAGCAAACCCTATCGTATGTTCAGTTTTCTTCCTTTTTCCTCATGAGTCATATTGCGTATTGCTGGAAAGGACTGGACGCGGAAGCCACGTTGCTGCGGCTGATTTAGCCTTGCATCCTTAAAGGTCAGTCTTGAGCAGTTGCAATTGAACTCGACGATGTCACATAAGCTCTTCTATAGGAATCATGCATTGGTAAAATCCTTTTCAGGACTGCAAACACTTATCTGACATCGTATGCGACGCTAAGGTTTGCTTCATGCTCACAGGTAAGATGCCAAGCAAGCGCCATGGCACTTGAGACGGCGCTCCACTGCGACATTAATAAGCTACATAAGCGTACCAGTAATATATCATGTTGGTCAAGCCAGCGTAACATGTGCGTTAGTTTCCTTCATCGAGGGCATTTT